AGTCATCGTGTCTGACCACCCTATCAGTTTTGTTACCAAGTCATCGTGTCTGACCACCCTATCAGTTTTGTTACCAAGTCATCGTGTCTGACCACCCTATCAGTTTTGTTACCAAGTCATCGTGTCTGACCAATCTATCAGTTTTGTTACCAAGTCATCGTGTCTGACCACCCTATCAGTTTTGTTACCAAGTCATCGTGTCTGACCACCCTATCAGTTTTGTTACCAAGTCATCGTGTCTGACCACCCTATCAGTTTTGTTACCAAGTCATCGTGTCTGACCACCCTGTCAATTTTTTACGTGTCGATTCCCAAATTGAAACAATGTTAACACAGAAATATGTACCTGAAAGTTTGAATCTAACAAACAACCAACAAATGATATAAAATTAACAATTGTATTTCAAAATTAACTAGGTTTACAAATCAACACACAATTCTGCACGACAATTACAATGGCAGTACACAATAGAGTGGTAGGACAATGAGGCAGTGGTCAGTATCAAATACAAAGAATACAGTGGTGATAGCAAACGTCATTGATAATAATATATATTCACCCAGCGGAGACAGTGGTCAAGCTTTCGAGATGGACTAGGCAGGGAATCAAGAATGATGAGCGATCCTCACCTGAACGCTGGTTCCGATGTCATGACAATGAGAGATACGTAAATACGCTCTTGTCCCCTTAAATAGTCTTACCACCTACTGGAAAGTTGCACATAGTGCCCTCACAACATTACATAAATTTCGGTAACATTGTATCACCGTCCGCGGTATATACCGGACCGAAAGTTTACACACCACACTGGCATCTAAATATAGTAACTTCCTTACGAGTGATCTCATATTGTCATATTGTAGATATAAAACGTCAACGTCAGAGAATACTCAGTGTGGATTATCTGCCGAAACAGATTCCATTTGGGCGTAAAAGGCTAAATAGCGTGTAACTATATGAATGGATCACTGAAAATCAGTGATGAATCACCAGGTGTTAGCGAAAAGGGTAAGCATGTCTAGATTATGCTTAATGAACTGTAACATGCATACGTCCTCACCGCTATGTAATACTTCCATCAGCCTAAAACTCACATCTTAGTGTCATCATGATCGAGACATTTTGTTAAATTTATTGCGTAGTATCAGCAAAGGTTAAATATTCTGTGGAGACAAATACATCCCTATAGTTTCGTGTCGGAACACACACTTAAACGCGTAATCTGCTTGGGGGTAGTGGTAATAAAGTAGCATTTTCTTAAAACGCCATCATTTTTGGATCGTCATCGTTGTTTTTTTATTAACAGTAGTGATAGAGCATCAATTCTAACCACATTAGACAGTATGGTTATGCTGGATTGGGTATCTCAAAAACTAAGCCACTTTTAAGGCCGCTGCTGCTCAACTAAAACCTTCTCGAACAATCAATCTCATAAATAACAACGCTTCCTTACTAATAAATTCTGAGCTCATAAAAGTGTGGTTAGGTGTTGTTGACCTCTTACATTCATTATTGGAAAATGTCTCGTAAATATCCCAGCCGCGATATAAAGTCATTAAGACCACAGATCAGGATATCAGCATGTTTCACGGAGCGCATGCACCTTAACACTGTTTGTGTACACATGTACCAACATAAAATGATCTTCTGCAACCCATGCTTGTGAGAGGCGACTATCGGGATCGGGTGATCAGGTTCGCTGGTTTGGTTGATGCATGTCATCGTATCATAATGTCGAAGATCGATGCTCATGATGTCAATCACAGGATTATCTGGTCCAGACTTGAATATTTACAGTCCATCGTTATATAGCTTGAATTTTGGTTAAACAACAAACAAACAAACAAACAAACAAATATATAGGGACGCGGAAAAGAGGTTATTAGTCTGTGTAACTTTAACAATACTCGAGTGAGTGATTATGATTTTTACGCCGCTTTTAGCAATATTCCAGCAATATCACGGCGGGGGACACCAGAAATGGGCTTCACACATTGTACCCATGTCGGGAATCGAACCCGGGTCTTCGGCGTGACGAGCGAACGCTTTAACCACTATGCCACCAGTCCGCCCCTTAACAATACTCAAAGTGAGTTGTGTTTGTAAAGATATTAATTTATTTCTTTACCTCTCCATAATTGATATTAAAATGTCTTCCATTCGCCGTTGGGATTTTCAGTATCCAAAGAGTTGGCGTGGGTGGCCCATATGTCGATGTGCAGAGTTGCGTCCCTTAGGTGTGCCGGAATCCAGTGATTCTCATCTGATTGTGATTGTCAGCAACAAATTCTCTCCTGTAGGGGGTCAGCGCCTAAGACCTGCATCATTTTGAGGCTCTAATGCCTCAGTACTCGGTGCGTGAGTGAGTGAATTGATTTTAACAGCGTTTTTAACAGTATTCCAGTTATATCACGGGTCAGTTTTATGTGGGAGGAAAGCCTTAAGTGATGCAGGTCTGAGACGTTTGCCACATTGGATAATCCCACGAGTACGGGTTTTGTGCTTACGAATGTAGAAACGTAATTGGGGCGAACCGGGATTCGAACACACAATGATCATGAAGCGACGCAACGCACAGCGGTATATCTGAATTTCTGATCATAGCGGCGTTAAAACCCACCTCACTCAAGCTGGTCATAATAGGATCCTTGTTGATTGTACGTCATCGTACCTCATGCTGTTAACCACTGGTATATCAGCGACAGACCTTAACGTCATTTTAAAAGTTTTGGGATAAACATTTTTACATCCTGAAAAGTACTTGTTAACGTTCCAATGTGTTCGCAAGCATCCCGTCTTGAATACGATGATTACCAGATTGATATAATTTTGTTACATTCACCTGAATGCACAATATTTGAGTTTTATGAAACAACTTTAAACCATGTAAAGGTCATGTTGTTCGTTTTTGTAAGCATCTGCATGGCTCGATAAAAGTATGAAGCTGTTTACAAACGCTCAGTGAGAAGTCTCCTCACACAGCTGCAGATACGCCATACCAATTATCAGCGATTCAGGATGCGAAACGCGTTGTCAGCACTCCGGTCCCCCATCATTTGGGATCCCCCATGAATACTGTTTGGAACACTTACATGGAGACAATTTTTTATAAATCGTAACAATGATTCGTTAATCCGGAAACTTTTCAATCCAGACGATTTCAAAGGGAAATCGACAGTCCGGATTAACGGGGTTTCATTGTATCTCGTAACGGTTACCATGCACACATAAATACCCTCTTACATATTGCCTGTGTATCCTTTATAAAGAAGGTTGTGTGTATACAATTTTAACATAATGGATAGTGTTAGCGATGCCATAAATCCCATAAGCACGAGGTCACGATTCGATAAATATGCAAATGATGTCGCCTAGCAGGAACTACTTTCAATCTCCATACAGCGATGCATTGCCTTCTTTCTCAATAAACTTTTGACTAATGTTCCTAACATCCATTGACGGGGATTTCCTAACGTGTATCCGTGTTTCTGTAGACAAACATGGCCGCACACCAATTGGAACCATATTGAGTGAAATTATTGTCTTTCAATCCATTATTTTAAATATGACATTATATGATAACGAGATGATTCCCCCGAGTGTTCCGAATAACTAATGTCGTATATCAGCAATATAAAGTATTATTAACGCCGTGATATAACTGGAATACTGTTAAAAGCGGCGTTTAACCCAACTCACTCACTCACGCACACTACTGAGGCATTAGAGTCTCAAAATGATGCAGGTCTTTGTATTATTATACTCGTCAAAGGCCCGCCACAATTTCCATTCCTAAAATAGGATACTTATGATACAGAAACCTACTCGTCCAGTAATCTCTGTATCTTGGTTTCTTAATAACCAATCTAATAAAAAAATAACCAATCTGAAATAGGAATAAAAAAAGTATGTATTATGCTCGCCACAGGCTCGCTCAGTACAATTCTATTCCTAATATTTGCTGTTTACGAAACGGAAACACACTTGGCTAATAACCTTTATATCTTGATTTCAATTAAACACAATTTTGTTTTAAATCTGAAAAGAAGTAGCAAAACATAAAATAATACATATTGCAAAAAGAAATTTGTCAATACATATTTGGCTTCTTTCTTGTAATTTATTGACGCTTGTGGACTAGGCAAGAAATATAATATGAATTCCCATATTTCCGTATGTCGGCAAGAAGTTATTTCTTCTAAATTTATTGGATACTAAGTATTTGTAAGCGACAAGTGACATTTAGAATCATGTAACTAAGACATTAAGCCGTTAAGTGAGCCCCCAAAAAGATACATACGTTTACCTTGATATAAGACGCCACACAAATGTTTCATTTGAATAATGTTATCATATCACTCAGCTATCGTTGTTCGGATATATTGCAGGGTCGGATTCACAGTTTATACACCAGAATAGAAAAACGTGAAGAAATAAAGCATCACCCAAGTCATTGGGAACGCGAGCTGGTGATAGTATTTTGATACCAAAAGTTCAGTCCCAAGGTTAAGACTGTATGCTGCCTACAACTCCAACGATGTAGAAGTAGTACATCTTTGCAGGACATGTCGTTGGACATGCTCCTAATGCCGTCTCTATGGGTTATTACCAGACTCCGCCAAGGGATTCATCGATCAACATTGTTACTAGGAATCAAGCTGTGGCAAAGACGATAAAACACAACGGAAAAAGAAATAAATACATTGGCTAATTACCTGTATCAACCTCAGCAGCAACAAAACAGACACCCTGGAAAAGTATCCAATAAATAATGATAGAAAAAGAGGGAATCTTCCGGCAGATAATACCAGAACAAATATCAGCAAATTATGGAAATGGGTCTAATCCATATGTGTTGGTGAGACTGACGACTAAAATCAGCGGTAGTGTGTTGCTTGACAGTAATAATTTCTAAGGGAAATCTCCCACGCTTCAGTATTCAGCCACGGTTGCGGCAGTCAATCCACCTGGTACAGCAGTGAGTGGACCATTTACAGAGGTGCTACCATGGTGCCGGGGCGTCGCAGAAAGCACGGCTTATGAAGGAATGGATTTTCAACGAGATGGTGCTCGGAACGTTGACGGTAAGAAGCAATTATTGAACTGGAGGCGTAATTTGTGGAAAATGACCTTAACACCATGTACTGCATGCTGTTGTTTTGTGTGTGGAATGAGCGGTGTGTGATAATGGTGGTAATTACCAATAAATAGTTACCGGATCTTTGAAGTATTACATTTGAACTGTGTAGAATAATGGTTTTGATTACCTGTAGATACTTATCGATTCTTGGAACTGCTACAATTGAGATGTATGTGATCATGGTTATAATTACCTGTAAACATATACAGTTTTTTAACTATTACAATTGAGCTGTATATGACGATGGTTTAAATTACATATATCTATATTTACCTTTTCTTTGAAATACTGTATGTTCAACTGAGCTGTATATGATAATGGTTGTAATTACCTGTGGACATTTGTAACTGTTACTATTGAGATATATGATGGTGATATATATTACATGTAACTAATTACCGTTGCTTTGAACTATTACGATTGATCTAAACCTTTCATCCTGTTTTCTTAAATTCATAGAAGTTTGTGAATTATTGAACCCAGTCATTTGAATTGTATGAAATTTGTTCAATTGTATAAGCTTTTTTCAAAGAATAGACAGAATGCTGATATATTCTCCAGACAAACAGAAAAAGAAGGTTCTTCTTATATGGAAATATCAATTCAATAACCCACTCCTATTATCAAAACGCCATCTCGGCGAGAATATCAAATTTCAAAAACGCCAACTAGAAGCAAGCTCATTGATATCTTGGCAAACTCCACACACCAGCAACACGCATGCGCGACAGATATCCAATACGTCATCAACATCTAATCACTTATTGGCCCGTGCATGATCCTCATTTTCGTGCAATAAAGTATAACATACTCCTCATTTTTCGATTGTGTATGGAGTTGACCGATTCTAACCTTACCCTGCCCTTCTTACACTCACTTGACTATCTTTCAGAAGTATTCGCGTGGAACAGGATAACATCAGCGTTGGACTCACACAAGGAATAATGCGGAATATAGGTGGTTGATTGTCCAGCTTCTTCGGACTTGGGAGTCGGTGGGCATGAGGAATTAACCCGTCGGTTCCAAATGTTATCGCCTTAATTGGACTTACCAGAAGGAATTGGAATATTTATGAAGAGGACTTGAGGATACAAAATGTTTTTTCTTCAGTTGTTTTATTTTTTTGTCTTATTGAAGGAAGGTGAGTTTTGAATGTTTTCATTGCTGTTCTTACTTATGATGTTGTGGCATTGATACGATATCTGCATTACTAACACGTGAACTAGTCAGTCTTGATACTAATCATTTGTAATCTCTGTTGTCACTTAAAACGGTTTTATAACGTTTTCGGTAGAGACGTACTTTGATAATAGGTTTAAGTGTTGTTTGAATGTGTTGTTTATATAACAAACGTATTGATGTGTGAGGTTTAGAAAGTGTGTAGTTAAACATGGACAAGTTACAAAAACGAACGGAATGTGAAAACAATGTTATCAACACATTCCGAAACATATATATTACTAGTCAACGAATGAATAACTCATACACCTTTTTAGATTAAACAGAAATCATCTTGAAAATGTGTAAGCACCTTTGTCGAAAAAAAAATGACGAAATTGAAAACATAATGACGTCACGTTGTACCTCGTACATGGTAATGGTAGAATAGAGATGAGGTCGTTAAGTGCAGAAAATGATTGTCATGGAAACCGCCGAAAAATAACATGAAACGATACCCAACAACAATAAATGGAATGTACGATCTCATGAAATCTTATAACTCACGTCTTGTGGTACAATGTATATGCTGTATCGGGTGTATTTGCATCCTCTAAAATACCTTTGAAGACATTTATTTACAATTACATGTATGTAAAAAGAAGTACACCTGACAAATGTAATAGTTCAGGATCTCCACTTACTTTTTGTAATCTCAATATACATGTTCATAGTTAAAAAGCCTTAAAAGGCTTACGTTAATTACGTATTATAGGTCACAGTCATTTCTTCTCATTAACGACCGCCTCCGTGGTCTAGTGGTAGAGCTGAGGGTCCGTGGTCATACCAATAGAAGTCAAAAGATGGTACTTGTTGTTACTTAGCTAGCGCTCGGCATTAAGAGTCTAAAACAAGGAATGGCCGACTCGGAGTCAATATAGTGTGGCTAAGTCGGGTATTTATGCTTAAACTGCGGCATGTACCTCGGTGAGCTAGCACTATAAATCGGCATCAGTCCGGACTAGTACAAACAGCCACGCACACACACGTGCATGCACGTGGCTATATAAGTGCAATAATCTAGGACGCGATGTTAAACCCAATTTCACCTCACCACCTCTTCTCATTAACACCAGTTCGCCCTGATGATGTTTCTAGGTTTGTCAGCACCGTACCCGTGCTCGTGGGATTTCACCCAAGTGGTAAACGTCTGAGACCTGCATCACTTTCAGGTGATATCCCACATGAAGCTGACACGCCGTGATATAACTGGAATACTGCTCAAGCGGCGATAAACCCAACTGACTCACTCTAATTAACTGAATAATATGATAATAAAATACCACAAGCCTTTGTTTAGTCATTCACATCAATGGACCTTGGTAATTGACAAAGGTGAAGCTGTATGCTTGGATAATATTTTAAGTTATTGTTTCTTGTATAAATAGTTTCATAGTTTAATCAATATTGTAATAGATTCTAGTTACCCTTTGCAAAGACCAATACGCTTTAAATATAAAATTATGTTTTACGTAGTATGCTCTCCTATGTATTTACTTTTCTAACCTCTTTTGATCCATATTAAACCGTAGGCCTTCCACACCCCTCAGTGTACCTTAGATCACCCGTCCTCAATTCCTTGAGCTCAAGCATATTTTTTAAAAACAATGATCATTATCTATCAACTGCGATAAGCCGGACCAGAAAGAACCTATTGCTCCTCTAATGAAACCATTCTGGAACCATTAATTCTTTCCTAAGAGTCTTCTTGGCTGGCATTATTACCAGAAAATGCCCACATCAAACAAATCCGGAGAGTGAAGGATACGAAATCAACGTTGTTAATTTTATCGCTGTTCATGTTATTGGATTGTGAAAGTATTTGTCAATATTCAAGTCTCACGGGGTCACTCGTGTTAAGCGGAATGGAACCGTAATAAATGAAACTTTACACAACTACAACAAACAGTCGGTCTGGGTTCCATGATGAATATGTTGATGATATAAGAAACTTGAAACTTAAATTACTGAGAACAATGTTTGCTGAAGCCGTTTATTTACAAGGGAAACCTTGTAATTGGAATTTCTTGTAATTGGATATCCTGGCTGTAGCTGGCCATGGCTAACTTTCCTCACAACAGTACACAAGGAGGAAGGTAACATTTTGTTTGAGATTTTCTTCAGTGGATAAGGTCAGCATAACTAAACGCACACCTTCTGCGTTTGGCGATTTGGTGAGGTCGAATCCAACACGTTCTGTCGCCACCAAGGCGAAGACGTAACACTGAACATGCTATGTTTTTGTCATACTTCTTTCGGATTTTACACTTACCGTTTCCACCTACAAATAGCTAGTGAAATGTCAAATATAACATGTTCTGCAGAAAGAGTTGATATGTTAATAAAATAATAATTGCATATCGTGATCAATATTTCGATGTGGACATATAAGGTTGTGGATAAAACAAAAATCAAAAGATTACAAGGATAGCCTTTCAGAGACAAAAGTCGATATGACCCTATCGCTGATAAGGCCAATATATTTGTGAATATTCATGGATCGTTCCCAAATGCTTTATTTCTTGTTACATTTAATTTGACGATGATGTCAGGGATCTTATATGATTAAATTCTTTGATGACTTTTTCCGTCAAAAGTGATTGATTGGTTTGGCATCGGCAAAACCTAAATGCGTAGCCAGCAATTTCAAATAAGCAAGTACTTCATTAATTGAAATTTATATCTTGTCATGGTATAGGTAGGTAATCAGCTGTTGTATATTTTACCTTATACTAGCTACACAAAAACGACCTCCAACTTTAACCTTTTAAGTATATAACAAGAACAGCAATAAAGGTTCTGTACTGCTGGACAGTACAGATATGAGTGTCAACCGAGCGAAGTGCCCATATCAAATCGGCCCAGACTCAGTTTTTCATGAGAGCCTTTCTGAACGACCACTTAATCGATTTTATGTGCAGTGTGTTGAGAAGTCCAGCAACCCTGCCGAGTCCTCTTTTGGATGGCTGGCCTGAAAAGTGAAACAGAAGGCTTTCTGTTTGCTCCTCAATACCAGTCACTTCCTTTTTAAAAGACCTGTGAAAATCCGGGGTAGAATAGGTCTTCAGCAACCCATGCTTGCCGTAAAAGGCGACTATGCTTGTCGGAAGAGGCGACTAACGGGATCGGGTGGTCAGGCTCGCTGACTTGGTTGATGCATGTCATTGATCCCAATTGCGTGGATCGATGCTCATTATATGAATCACTTGATTGTCTGGTCCAGTCTCGATTATTTACAGACCGCCGTCATATAGCTGTAATATTGCTGAGTGCGGCGTTAAACAACAAACAAACCAACCAACCAACCCTATCAAAACCGTCAATGTGTGATTTTTGCATCAAAATGTAACTATAAAATGTAGATAATGCAAGGACTTTACCGAGACTGTCAAACACATTGTAAGTGTAAGCCCTGCTTTGGCACAAACACAGAATCTTAAGCGACATGATGGAGTTAGCACGGGTGGAATAATGATAATAATTATAATATTAATATAATATGAATAAATATATAATATAGAATATTATAACATTAACACTAAGTCCAGCTGACGCCGTATATGCACATGTTTACTTATTATTCAGTTGTCATTCTCCTGTGTTCTCACATCAGAAATCAAGTCGGTGACCCTTCAGTAGTTGTGCTGAGCGGCAAAACTATCGTTTGAATAAGGTTCTGCTTTGACAGTTGTTGTGCTGCAATATCGGATCATGTCTGTTCCCACACAATGGGAAACATGCCAGTAGAAGTCATCGCATTTCATTGCTCCTCCTTGACACATAGAGCTTTTGTACTCATCTCACTTGTCGCGGGATTAATGGAGATTTTCTGCATGTCCACAACTGCGTAGGCCAATGTTTCAGGCAGCGCGCTGAAGCAGTAGGCTCACATTTGAATGGTAATGAAACGTAAGTGCTGGAGGCTTGACAAGACATCCCTGGGGCACTCACTCAGACGCAAAGCCTGTAAAGCTAAAACCTGAACAAATGCAACAGGATCGACTTACATTGTATACTGGAAGATGGTTTATGTCAACAGTAGTGTGCGAGCCACGGGGATACAACAGCAGGTGTAACTGTCACATCAATTATGTATATGGCTCGTATAAAAGAGCGAGAGAGGAGAGGGGGGGGGGGGGGGGGGGGGGGGGGGGGGGAGGAGAGGGGGGGGGGGAGGAGAGGGGGGGAAGAGAGGGAGGGTGAGGGAGAGAGGAAGTGTGTGTGTGTGTGTGTGTGTGAGAGAGAGAGAGAGAGAGAGAACTGTTACAAATAAGGGGAGGAGGTAGAGAAAATGTAAGAGGGGTGAAAGGGGGTGGAAAAGAGCGTGTGGTATAGGAGAAATATCTATGTGGGTAGTTATGCTTTTGAGGTATTAAATGTATGAAACAGTCATTGTATTAGGTTGACCAGTTATGATATTGGTATGAAATTGTATGAAACAGCCATGGTATGAGGTTGAACAGTTATGATATTGGTATGGATTTGTATGAAACAGCCTTGGTATGAGGTTGAACATTTATGAACTTGGTATGGATTTGTATGAAACAGCCTTGGTATGAGGTTGAACAGTTATGATATTGGTATGAAATTGTATGAAACAGCCATGGTATTCGGTTGAACTGTAATGATATTGGTATGGATTTGTATGAAACAGCCATGGTAAAAGGTTGAACAGTTATGATATTGGTATGAAATTGTATGAAACAGTCAAGGTATGAGGTTGAACAGTTATGATATTGGTATGAAATTGTATGAAACAGTCAAGGTATGAGGTTGAACAGTTATGATATTGGTGTGGTCTTGTATGAAACAGCCATGGTATTAGGTTGAACAGTTATGCTGTTGGTATGAAATTGTATGAAACAGCCATGGTATTAGGTTGAACAGTTATGATATTGGTATGAAATTGTATGAAACAGCCAT